GAAATGGGTTCCCCCTTTCGATAGGCGATTTCGCTCTCCTCTGTTCGATGGGCGATTTCGCCCCTACAGCGGATTTTGTCTCAATTGACTTTTTATTTCTTGTTGCAGCGACCTTCTCTGATGAGGCTTTCCCGGAGGGTGTGGCCGTTGGCCACGCCGGGGCTACGAGTTACACGGCGCCTTCTCGATTTCCTTCTCTGGCTCCCATGCCCGTATTCGCCGCTGATAAGCCGCATGGTCTGGTACAGAGGGTCACGGATGGTCATCACTTGACATTATGCGAGTTGACGACCAACGCGGCGCTGACAGATGAGGACAGGGCAGAGCTGCCGAAGCCTCAATTTTTGTTCGGCGACGCTATGGCCGACCCCTCCGCCCTGTTGCTCAAAGAGAGCCGGTGGTTCCGCACGGTAGAGGGGGTTCATTATTACCTCCCCAGCATGTCGAGAGGGTTTTCGATCGTCGAGCTGCGGTCCTTCGCCATTCCTCGGACGATGAACTGGGATTTGACCCCTTCTCAGGACGGGGTCACTTGTGGCGTCTTTACGGGCTCCACTGCTGGGTATGGAGTGGAGAGTTCGTGCAAGCGCGTGACGGGCCTGCGCCCTGGCTTAATGTCCGCTGAACCGCCCGTGGGGGAGTCGACAGCGGTGGCGGAGACCTTCCGTCACCGCTTCTTTCGAGCTGGTGGAAGCTTTCCCCCGAAGGACTTTAGGGCCCCGGGGTGGGTCTATTCTGCACCCGGCAGCGACACGTGGTGGTCCAGGAAAGCGGCACATTTTTCACCCCCAATGGTGAGCTTGGTATCACCCCTCACGAGATGTACGACGTATCGGGGCTGCCTCTGGGAGACTTTTCTTACGAGGAGTACGTCCCCGATCAAGATGAGATCGATCAGCTGTCGAGCCAATCCCCTTTGGCGGTTAAAACTCTGTGGGAGTTACTCTGCCACTACCACATATGCCTCAGTACCTTAGGGGCCTCAGATCATAAGGGGAAGAAGAAGAAGACCCCGGGGATCAGCCATAAGAATTGGGCTGATTATCTGTTCCCGGGGAATGATGTCAAGGGGAAGCCCGCTCTCCCGTTAGGCGCGTGCGACCAGCCCGAAGTGGAGGCGAGGACAGCTAAAGAAGGAAGCACCATGACTCTTGACTGTGACGAGGGCGGGTTTAAGTCTGGTACGGTCTTCCTCTCATTCCATCATCAGGCGAAGTTTCTCATTTCGGGGAAGGCGCTGCTCGCGGGGTACCTCATGTTATGGCTGAAGAGGTGCGTAATCCCCACTCACTCCTTTGAGGCTCTTCCTGTGGAGGTTGTGTATCCGGCGGTTTGCCTAGCTTACGGGAAGTCTTATTCCCTGGTATCGGCGACGATATCGTGCATTCACCGGGGACTCCGCACTCTGACGGCCCAATTCTGCCGTGTGTCGGTCCTTGATGAGGGGGAAGGAGTAGTTATCAAAACTCCCAATCCTAGGGTGGGGTTACCGTACACCTATTTGATGGCGTGGTTCGTATACCACTGCGAATGTTTGATGAGCGCCCCGGCGGCGCTCCAGGGTGATAAGTTTGTCCCCTTCGTTCAGCGCTTGGAGAGGTGCTCTTGGAAATGCAAGGACATCCTTGATGCAAGGAAGACGCTCTCCCACTTCGGACATTATAATTTTCGCCGCTCCTTCCCTTATTTCAGCGGGGGCGGATATGGAGAATCTTTCAGGGATGCGCCGACGGCGGATCACTACATGGTCCTTACCCGTGGTGCCTTTCGCTAGTTGGTGAATATCCGATCGGGATATCATGTTCTGAGAATGGGCCCTACATGCTATCTCGAGCCATACATCCCCTGCAGGTTCGCCCGCCAGTTTGGGTCCCCCGGCGGGTCCCCCCGCCAGTTTGGGTACGATCAATTGTATGTGGGCAATGCCAATCCCCACCTAAACTTCGAAGGAGGATTGGTTGACGGAGCTCGGGGATGGTTCTGGACCCATGCTGGAGGCACCCAAGCCCGCTTTGAGTTGCCCGCGAAGGACCGCGATTTACACCACAATCCTGCCAATTTCTGGTTCCAGAACTCATGTCTGGTGGAACGCGATCGTCCTGTCAGGGGTCCTCTCCGTTCTTCGAGGCGAAAGGGCCACCAAACTGCTAGGGAGTTGTTCTCGGAAGATCCAGTTGAGGATACCGAGGGTTTTGATGCTGGTTTGGACGAATCTGAGGTTCCCGAGGTTCGAACTCCAGTCCAGAGTCCGACAATCGGACAAATGGGGGCGCCGCTTCTGTCTCCGAGTAGCTCGCTTCTCTCGAAGCGTCAGCGGGAGGCAGTGGCTGAGAGTTCCCGAGCGGGGGCGGCTAAGAAGGTCCGTCGTGATGAGATGGCGGAAACCGTCCGAGCGGCGGAAGGTCAGGATGATGTTCCCCAGGTGGGTATCCCCGGAGCGGCGACGTCTGGAGTTGTGCTGCCCGTCTCTTCTGCTGCATCGGGGGCGGCTCTGGCGACTACGAGAGACGCTCCTCCGCGATCTAGCGAGAGGCTACCGACGGGAGCTCCAGCGGCTTCTGTGTCCGCATCAGGAGGTAATTTTTCTTTTGCAATATCGTCTTTGATCGCAACGATGATCTCATACCTTTTGACATTGGTATTGGACCTATGCAGGTGCGATTGAGGAGGTGATCCCCATTCCTTCCGACGAGGAAGGGGAGGCTAGAGATGAGGAGGGGCCCACCGGCTCGGGTAAGCGTGTGTTTTAGCATTACTTTTCTTCCCGTACCCGACTGTTAGTAGGGTCCCTTTCGAGGGGTCTTTGTTAACCTCTTTCTGTGCATTTGTAGTTGACCCTAACCGCGAAGTCGCAGGTGAGGAGGATCCTCACTCTTGGGCGAATCGCTCATCTGAGGCGGGCGAATCTGAGGAGGATGACAATGTCTCAGTTCACGCTCCTCCGGAAGCGTCGGCTGGGGGTCATTCATCGGGGCGAGAGTCTCCGCTTCAACGGGAGGCCCCCATTCTGCAGGTGACCATTTCTCCGTCGACGGCGGCCGTTGACGTTGTGACCACTGCACCGAGGGTGTCATTGGTCGCAGCGGCTCCGGTGGTGCCCGTTACCACTTCTACGGTTATGGCTACAGGTACCTCGACCGTGATTTCGTCCACGGCGGAGGAGGTCGCCCTCTCTCCCTTGGAACGCTGGCGAAAAACGCAGGTGGAGCGAGCTCTGGCGAATTTCGAAGATACTTTGGCCCACTGCACCCGGCTGGTCTTAGAGGAGAATTGTCCCTTCGAAGAATTCAGGGAGGTTCTTGAACACGATGCGTCCTTCTTGCGTAAGAGGCTCGGCGCCGCCGCGGCGAGGCCCTATTTTCAGCGTCTGAACGAAGTGGAGGGGGCTGTTCGGCAGCTGCTCGCTCTTCGTGCGGAGAGTTCCACTCTTGTTGATCTCGCCTCCCGTGAAGTTCGAGTAGCTTTGGCGGATCGCGATCGCCGCCTGAACGAGAACATGGCGCTAGAGTTAAAACTGTCGGCAGAGTCGGAGCAGGTCAGAGCCGAGGATGCACAAGTGGCCCGCGAGGAAGAAACGGTCGATAATCAGTTCTCCCGACTTTCCTTCGAAGTAGAGAGGCTGAAACAGGTTGTAGCCGAAGCACAGGCTGCCCTGGCCGTTCAAGAGAAGGCTCGCGATCACGTGGCAAAGGAGTTGGAGGGCGTAAAGTCTCGCCGGCGATTGACTGCTGGCTCCGTTGCAGAGAAGGATCGAGCTCTCAAGGATGTCAGAGAGGTTATTCAGGATTTGATCTCATGCACGGAGGAAGATATTCGTCGAGAGGTCCTGAGGAGGCTTGAGCTTCGCCATGCTGAAGAAATTCGTGGGGCGGAACTGAAGTTGAAATCCCTGTAGTTCGCCTTTAGTTTTCTGCTTGTAATAGGACTTCTTTCTCATGAATGAAATTGTCCCTTTTGTTTCTTGGCTTATTGTCATTTACGTGTGTGCTCCATTTTCGTAATCATGCATTGGTCAGAATTTGGTCGTAAGAGAACCTTTTGCGCTGTAGGTTTATTTCGATTGCAGGCGAATTCGGCCCGCAGGCGGATTTGCAGATGCTAAGGGCAATCCTGACTCTGATCGGGTTACGCATTTAGCAGGCCACGTGTTAATCTACGTGTACGCCGGTTAAGGAGACGTGGGATAGCCGCCTCGCATTAAATGCGAGGTAGTGGGCCTCTCCGTTCCCCACGTCCGATTTGAGCCGTTTGTTGAAGATCGTGCTCAAGGAACTGCCAGATCTTGTCCGTCCAGATCCGATCTGTTCGGTCTTGCTCTTTAACTGCTTTAACCCTGAACGGTCTAATCAAGTACTGAGTAACCGCCTAGGACTCTTAGGGTATTTAACACCCTAACTCTTCCTCGAGAGGGCCCATCGTCTTCCTCAGAGTAAACCCGAACTTCTTCTTCCTCATACTCCCAATGGCGCCGAAGGTGAAGAGAGTCGTTTCCAAGAAAAGGAAAGAGCCTGGTTCTTCAGGTGCTGCCGAAGCCGTCGCGGCTGAAGGTATCTTCTTGCTTCGACTTTCGTGTGAGTTTAGTAGGTATTCCTCCCCCAATTGTTCCCTGTATCGCTTGTTGCGTCTTACAGGTCGAGAGGAGGTGCCGGCTGCCGAGGAGCATGCGGCCGATCCCATTCTGATTTCAGACGACGAATCTGAAGGCCGTGCGAACTCCGCTGCTCCCGCCTAGGACTCTTAGGGTATTTAACACCCTAACTCTTCCTCGAGAGGGCCCATCGTCTTCCTCAGAGTAAACCCGAACTTCTTCTTCCTCATACTCCCAATGGCGCCGAAGGTGAAGAGAGTCGTTTCCAAGAAAAGGAAAGAGCCTGGTTCTTCAGGTGCTGCCGAGGCAGTCCCTCTATGATCGCGTGGCCGATTTACGGCGATCAGGTGAAAACCATCTCGCTACCCGTTGCGTGCGTGAACTCCGTCTCTTGGAGCCACGCATGATGGTGCTAGAGGACTTGCTACGGGG